AATAATCTGAGTTAGTTGGAACTATTGGTTTTAATGCTACAAACACTAATCTTATATTTTAGCTACAAACACTAATCTTATATTTTAGCTAGCTTTGTTTTGACAATATGTAATTGATTACCTTGGTATTTTGGTTCAAATGTTAGCAATTATGGGCATTCTCTTGACAGTTAGTTGGACATAGGGCTGTAAACGAACTGAACGTTCAACGAACTGTTCGTGAACCGTTCGGCTGGAAGTTCGTTTATGTTCGTTTATTTAATAAATAAACGAACATGAACACAAATTCTCGTTCGTTTAGTTAAACGAACGAACATGAACAATGGTCTCGTTCGTTCAATTATGTTCGTGAACGTTCGTTTATGTTTTTTGTTTACGATTGTTTATGTTCGTTCACCTAACTTCCTTTTATGTTCATATATGCTTAATTGTGTTTGATTGTATTAATATATCATATGTTAATATATGTTCAATTGTGTTTTTTTTATCTTTATTCTTTTATGTTCGTTCGTTTATGTTCGTTTAGCATGTTCATGAACATAAACGAACGAACACGAACAATGTAATTTGTTAAACGAACGAACATGAACAAGAAAACTTGTTCGTTTATCCGTTCGTGTTCGTTTATTTGTTCGGCTAATTTAAATGAACGAACATGAACAAGCCCTGTTCGTGTTCGTTTGGTTCGTTTACGGCCCTAGTTGGACATTATCATCATGTTATATCATTCAATATATCTCATATTCTTTTAATAGAGATTATTACGGAAAACCAATATATCATGATGCTATGTAGAAATTCAATTTGTGTGATTGTAGTGTTTATTTAGGAAGAATTTATTATGTATTTTGTGTTGGATCCCATTGTCAAAAGATCTTTTCACTGTCAGTTTTGGCTGTATGGTTGTGATGCTATGTAGAACTTGGTTTCTTTTTTATTAAATTCGTTTATTGTTATTTTTTTTATCATTATGGGCCTCATTTTGTATTTTGCTTTGAATCGGGTCCAACCAGCTCATTTTGTAACTTAGATGTTAAATGATGTTTTTGTTGCTTTCCATAATGAGACATAAATTTATATAGTTATGGATATTTGAGCTTTATTCTTAAAAATGCTTTTAAGAATAGAAATTACTTATCGTCCATAAATTTGTTAATTGATAATTCTACGGTTTGTGTGCTTTAATAGTTGAAGGTTTAAGGGATATTGACTTAAAAACCTTTAGGCCATGTTTGGTATAGACTATAGAGAACTAAGGGTAGAGAAATGGAATACTTTCCATTTCTCTTGTTTGGTAAGTAGTAAAAAGTAGAGAAAGAGAAATAATCTAATTCCATTTCCACCATTTCATTTCTCTCTTTTTTTTTATGAAGAAATGGGGAGAAAAAGAAATATTGAGCCCATCAAGAAAACAAAAAAAAAAAAAAAAAAAAAAAACTGAGAATTGGATTTACATCTTCACGTGGTCAGTTCGAAACTGGGTGTGCTCCCGATTTTTCGTCTATGATTTTCTTCATCAATCAATATCTTCACTAACTGCGTTTGGATTTCACAGCTTCAACAGAGATCGACTACTTTAGTTTTGATTTCACAAGTTCTTATAGATTTCATATACGGATTTGTGATTTCAAAACATCTTTTCTATCTGTTAAGGTATTACTTGATTTCTATTTGTTGATTGATTTCTGATTCTTGGTTGATTTATATATATCGACTTTGATTTCTGATTATTGGTTGATTTCATATTCTTGGTTGATTTATGTTTGATTCAGGGACCGATGTTTTGATGAAGAGTGATGCTTAACGAAGTGGTTCTTGTGATCCAGAATTTGAAGAGATCTTTGATTTGGAATTTGTGAAGCGTTAGTGGAATACTGTCCAAGTGGTGAATTGATTCAAAGAGGTTGGAATATATATTGCAAATGAGTTGGTGATTCTTGAAATCAAAATTGTTATGGTTCGTTATAAATTGAAGCAAAAAGTCAAAATTGAATATACAAAGTCAAATTGAATAAATTTAAAGTGGGAATGAGGTGATGATCTTCGACAGTGATTCAAAATTGGTTCTGTTAATTTGTTTCAGTGATATATTAAAATTATGTTTTTAAATACAAGATACGTGTATAAGATGTGTTTGACATTTATAAAAATAAAAATTTAATTGTTAAATTAAAAAATTATAAACATAACGTAATTTGCACAACCAAGTATCAGAAAAAGACTTGTAACATGCATTTAGTAGTAATCAGTACGTTCTGTTCTGAGTTGACATTGCCAATGGTATTTCTACTTGTCTTAATGAAGTTATAACATACAAGTTTTAGTTGTTGGCCTAGTGGCATCATCATCTAATTGTTCATAGTAGAAACCCTATAGTTACGGTTACAGGAAGACAAAGAGGCGTCATGGCTTCCTAGGCTTTAGATTATGGAAAGAACGTAAGGATACATAGGTTGGCATATGAGTATTACAAGGCATTATTAGTAGGTTTTAATGTGGAAGTTCTTTACTATCAAGAAACTAGGTCTTCCTTCCTCCAGGCTCTAACTAGATCTCCAATGAGTTTTCTTACAAACTAACATATTCATCAACATTTCATCCTAATATGTCTAAGTGAAAGACAATTGAGTATTTGAGTTAAACAAGGTTCTAAGACAAGGTTGGTTCAATCAATAACACAAGGGAAGAAGCATGAAAATGCTACATAAAGGGTCAAATTAAGCGAACATGACAATAAACCAAAAAAAGCTAGCTAAATCAATCAACAAAACAAGTATATGAGAACAATATATGGCTGCAAATCACTACTTCCCAGCTTGTCAAAATCAAAAAATGAAAATCAAATTGGATTCGCAAACAAGGAAAATTAGTTACAAAGATTTCATTCAAGTGGTGGACTCGATTTCTTGAGGCTTTGGGCACAACACCGGTGGGTTAACCCTAAAACACCGGTCGATTCCGTGATGGCGTGACCGGCGACGACAATGACCCTGTGAGCCCAACATCGGAGTTGTGGAGTCGTTCAAGCAATCGGAGGCATATATGGTTGAAGCAATATTGTGTTTAGTGCGGAGGCGTACATCAAATGGTGACATGCAATGTCGAGTTGATTTCTCGATCACAACTCCGATGAGTAACCCTAAGTGCAGGTGGTTTTCGTCGTTTTCATTTTCTAGTGGTTGAGTGTTAGATATATAGAAAGGGCATCGATTATAAGAAGACGACTTTGAGTGAAATTTTTTTCTTTTTTAAATAAGGTCGTTCGTCGTTTTCATTCAAGTGTTTTTTTAAGTTTAGACAACAAATTAAATCGTAATTTATTTATATTCTAAATATCATGACAAAACTTTTATTAGAAGTTTTTTTTGTCTGTCATACGTTGTAATTCGTCTGTCATTAAAAGTGTTTTTTCTAGTAGTGGGCAATGCTTATACCCAAGAGCGAATAATTCTGGCAGATCTAGCAGTGTTTGTTCCTTCTTCGGTTGATCTCGTTGAAGCAGTTGCCGTTTATTTTTAAGGGACTCATCGCATATGTCATGATTCATCGAGCCTTTAAGGTGACAGTGGCACATCGAAATTAATCTTGATTTATGTATCTATCTATAGATGATAAACTAAAACTTGCTTAATATTAATGGAACAACGATTTTGGAAGGGGCAATCCATGGGGTTTAATGTGAGGTGAAAACCCCAGACAAAATTGTGTTGGAGGTAGGAAGGATGGTGTATTCTTTGTTTCCTTTGATCAACAGGGTGTTGAAGTGAGTAATTTGAATGTATGTATAGGTAGAATCGATATGCAATTTTTCTATATTTGACAAAAACATCATGAATTTTGAAACTTATTAGATGGTTTTTGTTTGTTTGAAATGGGTTTTTAGTTTCTTGAAATATGAATGAAAGATATTGATTGTGTTGTGTGTTGTTGCTGTGGATGAAGAAAAGCATACATGTGGCCATCGACGGATCGATCTAGAAATTTTCATTGCTGGGGCACTAACAAACAACTATATGATCGCGTCGGTTAAAATGGTCAAAACAATCGGGTCGAATCATAATAATTTGCTTTTACAGATAACATATTTTTTTTATAAATATTATATAAATCACAAGATAGCATATCTAATGCTATGTAAGATACCAATGCCCGGGATAACACACAAAAATAATATAACCTTTAATTAATTGTATAAAAACATAACTTTTAACATTGTAGAGATATTTTGTAATTTTTTAGAAAGCATAATCAAATACTAACCTGTCATAGAATTTTTAAAAGATTGAATACATTAATTCTATTCGAAATATAAGTTTATAATTATAAATAAATAAATAAATAAAAATAAAAACGTGATTTTTAACCTTTAATCACTTAATTTTGGCAAGACTGTTATTTTTAACAAACTATATATGTGAATTAATTAACATTAATGCTAATATAAAACCTTTGACGCAAATTAAATTAGCATAAAAAAACAAATGTTTTCTAGTGGGCTTTGACAAGTTTGACAACATGTACATAGCTTGTTCCCACTTCCCAGCAACCTTTTGTTTATGTCGTTAATCAAATATGGAGGTGCCCCAATACCCTAAGCCTAATTGCCTAAATTCAAATTTTCGTTGAGAGCCTTGTGTATTAAAAAAAAAAGTATTTGACCCAATTTTAACCGTATCTTATGTAAAAAAATTCAACCATTGGGGGGCACATGCCCCCCTCTCTTCTGCCTGGGTCTGCCCTGCACGTGGAATTTCCACCGGCTGAATTAGGTTAATTGGAATTATGCCCCCATAAAATAATAATATTATAAGGCTTTGTGTCATTAATTTCTCATTTTGTAATTTACTCATATTTATATTGAAGAACTTGAACCCATGTAAGAAAATATATAGAGAAAGAAGAAATGAAGTGCTTCTTATTACATAATTACTGAAGAATACACAAGTATAACGAGCACACTTTAGTAGGGTTTCCCCTTAGAGAATCAGGGAAACTCCTTTCGCTCCTCAAATCCATATACTTATTATATATAATATATAAAAAGAAAACGCCCGGAAAAAGAAAACCCGGCGGGCTGCTTCTATAAAAAGAGAAAGCACGCCGCTGCCCCCTTAAAAAATTCCAAATCATAATAAACACTGAAGCACACGGTCTTCTCATCTCTTTTTTTCAGAACTGTAAACGACTTGAGAAAGTTTGACCAAATGTCCAGCTTGAAGGGACAATGTTTGTGAAAGTTTTGGTGATACCATCGTTGGTTGTGACCATGAACGACATAGATTGGCCATTGAGGTACGAATTTGATTGCCAGTTAGCTCCCCAATTCCTCGACATCGGCATCCACCCGGTTTTTGATCCCTTCACCTTCACCGACGTAATAGCTCCGGCATTTCCGACATTCGTTATCAAAACAAGCTCGAAGTAGTCTCTCCCATTTATCGCGAATCTAACTCCGCCGTGTTTCTTACATGGTACTCTGAAAACAAGTTAGATTAAAAAACAATCAGCAAAATGCCAGAAGATGGAGTTTGTAAGTTTGTATACAGTGATCAAGAAAGAAGGAAAGACGTGGGACCTTTGGTAGATAACGGGGATGATTCCACCTCTGTAAATCCCGATCTTCTCCCAAGCAGGTTGAGCCATGTCGAAATGCTGTAGCGGTGGGTTGCACCACCCTCCGGCGTCGTTGGCCTGAGCGTAGTTTGGTGGGCAAAAGTTGGTGGCGGTGATTGTCACCGACACTCCTTTCTTGCACCACTTTGGGTCCGTCTTGATATCGCATATGATCTTGTAACACTGGCCGCAAGCAGCACCGTCGTTGAAAAGAGCAGTACTCAATGCCGCCGTTCTTGTTCCGTATCCGGTGGAGTACAAGTTACCATATCCGCAAGCACCACCTGCATATATAGAAACAAGTTAAGATCAGTAACAACCTCCGATAATGGCTGCTTCATGGGCTTATTAATTAGAGAAGCATATATACCCATTGTTCCAGAAGCATCGGCTTCTCCATAAAAGGTTGCATGGGCTTTTGTCCATCTCGAAGGGGTAAGTCCATGGACATGGAGGAATAGAGAGTAGATAACAGTTAGCAAGAGAAAGCAAATTTTCGCCATTTTTGATGTGCAGAGATGAGATGAAGCAGATGAGGAAGATGATGGGTTTAGAGGATTAGAATAAGAGCTGCTTAAATAAGGACTAACCCAACAGCATCACATGTAAATCTGCAAGTAGAGAATGCAGAGAGGGGTTTAATTATTATTATTGTTTTTTTATTTGATTTATATCAATAAATAAATCCCTTCACAAGGGTGAAGAAATTCTGAATCTGATTCAATCATTCCCACGTTCCATCAAACCATTTGTCTACATAGAATTCACATGGCTAGAAAAACCCACTACCCAAATTGCTTCAATCTTGTTATAAACATGAATTAAAAGTATATCTTGCTTCATTTCACATACAGTTTTACAAAAAGTATATGATTATATGTTCTCCAACCATAAAAAAAAAGAAAAAAAAAGAAAAAAAAAAAAAGTTATACTCAAATCAATATCTAAGCGTTTACGTACATTTTATAATAAGATAATTCATTCTTACAAGTTATATTAATTCTTATATTGGATTAATATATGTAACAGAAAACTAAGTACTCAAATGATTTTGTGATGAGTCACCTCCGTACATTGATCAAATCAAGAAACCTTTGATGAACCGGGATCATGACTTGTTTTAATGTTGTGTTGTTGCTACATGAAAGGTGATTAATTAATGCATTTAAAATATAGATTAAAGACTGATTACTCAAGGACTCAAGGGGGGCAAGGGGGGAATATAGTTGCTTAAAAAGATGTAAATGAAATAGACTCTCACATCACATGCCTTTACTTTAACCTTTTGTGGATCCAAAATTCTAATAAGGTTAAAGTATGCACTGCACTGCACATCATTATATTTTACATTGATACTGTGAGATGCCATTATTTTTCTTGGGGAAGAAAAAAACAAATTAATACTTGGATTTAAGATCCATCAAATATGTCATCTTGTTGTCAAAATTCCAGGTTGTAAAAGGCTTGGACATGGAGTTGCTTTTTGAAGATACGCGATGTGATGAGATGTTTTAAAACTTTAAGCAAAAAAAAAAAAATAGTGGAGATATACCATATTATTGGTTAAACATGGAAACAAAAAATTTAGGAGTCTATTTTTTTTTTTAAACGGAAAACTATCTAAACCTATTCCTAAATACCACCTATGTCTCCTAAAAGACTTGGACCCATGACCTTTCATTTGAGAGGATCACTATTTATCGCTAGGCCAAATGTCTTTTGGTATTTAGGAGTATATATATAAGATAAGCTAGTTTTGTTAAAGAGAAATTAAATATCTTTTACTTTTGTTACTACAAATCCTCCTACCCAATTAAATAATGACATGTGTCATATTAGTATACTAAAAAAAACATTTTTGTCAAATATAATGGTTTTTTCGAAAAAATAAATAAAAAATTGAGGGTTCTTTGGGAAAAAGAAATAAAAAGTTAAGAGCTTTTCGGAAAAAAATATAAAAAATTGCAAAGTTTTTTCTAGAAAAAAAAAAGCACTACAAGGAAAAAGGCAATTAGCGGCGACAAAAGTCGCTGCTAAAGGGTGTCATTGTCGCCGGTAATGGTAATAGCGGCGACACGTCGCCGGTAATAAGTCACCGCTATAGCTCTGTCACTATTGATCAATTTGTCGCCTCTAAAGAGAATAGTCGCCGTTAATGATGGAGTCGCCGGTAATGATGAAGTCGCCGGTAATAGTGTCGCAAACATACATACATTCACATACACGCATAATAACATCCTGCTTATACCAAATACACATAATTTTACATATATAGATAATAACATCATACTTCTACCAAATACTCATATACCACATATACATCAAACACACATACATTGACATATATACACCAAATTTACATAGATTCACATACAAATATCAAATATACATACATATGACAATTTTCACATAATTGATACAACTACACATATTTTGCAATTAAACTCAAATTTCACAATAAATAGAAGTAAATAGAACCTGTGGTGGCGGAAATCAACGAAAATTGTCCAGTGGTGGCGGTAGTCGCGGATGGTGGTCGGGAACATAATCAACAAAACTGAAATTGACAATTTTTTTGCAATTAACCACTACAATAAGCTTAAAATCGATGTTACAAGAGAAAAGGGACCGAAAATTGACTTGGAAATACCTCTCAGTCGCCGGAAAAAGCTTGGTGTCGATGGAAAAAATGGTCCTTACGGGAAAATCTCTCTCCGCCGGTGGTATCTTCTTCTGTGGCCAATTTGACACACCGAAAACTGAGTAATATCTCACGAATCGGAAGTAATATGCATAAGAGAGAAGAGAAACAACAGCGAACGGAGTGAAACAGAAGAGCAAAAGGAAAAAAACGCCGATTTTTTTGGGGTTAACTGTGTTGACCTTTAGAGGCGACGCCTTTACTGGCGACTTATGGGTCTTTATCGGTGACTACTATCAATAGCAGCGACTATCCGGAGGGAATTATTGTCACGTCACTTTTTTATCTTTAGTGGCGACAATTTTAGGTCTTTAGCGGCGACAATTTTAGGTCTTTAGCGGCGACAAAAGTCGCCGGTATTGCTTTTATGCATTCAACGAGCACCCTAGTCGTTGGATTAGAACCACGATCAGATGATTCGTGTTTACCAGAATGTCAAAGCGCGGATCGGTGTCATTCAGCCTTTAGCGGTGACACCAACAGCGACGACAATGACCTTTAGCAGCGACTTTTTAATTTGTCGTCGCTAAAGCTCAATGTCGCCGCTAAAGGTTGTATTTCTTGTAGTGAAGTTATGGTTTAATACAAAAAAAATATATATATATAAGATTTTTTTATGATACCATTTTTCAAGATTTAAACAAAAATTTGAGACTATACCAAAATAGTCATCAGATGACATCTCGGAAATTAGGAAACCGTAAAAATGCGTTTACCATTTAAGGGGGAAAAAGAACGGAGTTCTAGTTATAGATGAGGATTTTGCATATATTATCTGTAAAATCCTATCTGTATGTGAAATTGTCTAAGAAATCCTTTTACGCATATGTTAGCTACAAAATTACATATTTTCTGACAAAACCATGTATTTTCTTGTCATCTATACTACAAAATCTAACAACCATATAAGGAAATTTGACATCCATACAACAAATTTAAGATAAATAAGTATTGTTTTTTTATATTACTTCTTGAAACAATAAAAAATTTCAGCAAAAAATTGTCTGAAATCATTTCTCTAAGAAAAAAACACGACTTCAAATTTGTTAGATGAGTATTTTGTTGTTGCTTGTATCAGTCAATAAATGGTAAAACATAATATGCTAGGCCTTTAATTAAAAATATAAATTTCCTTGAAATATTAAATTTGGTTAGAATTGAATACATGTTTGGAAGACCTACCTAATATTAGTTTGAATATTGAAGTATGTTATAGATATAGTCTATGAGAGTGACATGAACACTTGAAAATGGTTATTCAAAAAGTCTCAACTGTTGTACATGTGTATCTTGTAGATAGTGCTCCTGTGAAAGAGGCTCCAATTATAGTGAATTGACCAATTGTTGATAGGAACCAATCTATCGAGAAAGGCTCTAATAAGAAACAATTTAGCGAAAGATAAAAATATTCTGATAAGAACTAATCTAACGGAAGAGGTAACAACAATCAAGTTGGTATTTTAATACCTCGTAGTGTCCTTCAATATCCTCCTATGTATGTTGTAAATGAAACATTCGTACAACCATAATTTGATTAGTTTGATCTGGTACAACCATAAATTAATATATATATATATATATATATATATATATATATATATATATATATATATATATATATATATATATATATGTTGTATGTAAAACACCAATACAATGACAGTCATTATGTCGATCTAGGAACATATAAATACGTTGGTGATGATGATGTTGTTACTTGTGACAATGTTGTTCCTACAAATGATACAAATGTTCGTGTGTGTGTGTGTATATATATATATATATATATATATATATATATAATATATATATATATAGACACACACATACACACACTACACATCAGTAATTCTATAGGTGGATAATACCAATCTATTTCTTTATGTGGAACCAATAGATCTTTCATATATGCTTATATGACCTTGAGAAAAGTGATACTGAAATCAAATGGTTAGATGATGAATACACATACAAAAACACACCATTATGTGGTATGCCTTCTATACTGTAGTGTCAGTATATACCCTATGTATGCACCTACTCAATCACACATCACCGTCATAAAGGATAAAAACCTACAAACATTCAAAGACATAAAAACTTTTCAACTAGTATTAGTATTGAAAACTATTCATGATGAATTGTAGTACAAAACTAATAGATCTTGAAAACTAAGGTTTCAAGAATCTCGTTACCAGGAAATTATACTTCTATTTTGGTTGTGCGACTAGAGAATACTTTCATGTTTTTGGTCCAAAAACTTATAAACGAACACACCTGTTCTTCAACACAATTTAACCCAAACCATCTCTAAACAAACAAAAAAGTTTTGGACCATTTAATTGTTTAGGTTTTCGCAAGGTTGTAAAAATCGATCGGCGGTAGCTCGACGGCCGACTGGCGATAAACGATTATTCAGACTCGGTGGGGATTAATTGGGGACTCTAAATTATTAATAAAATTATTTAAAAAATATAATATTTCCTAAAACATTAAGTATTTGAAAATTTTAAATTTTAAAATTTTGAAGTTTTAAAAATTTTAGTATAATATTTTAAAATTTGAAAGCCTAAAATTTTGGTGTAATATTTGAAAATTATTTTTTTTTGAATTTTTTAAATATTTCCCGCTTATGACCGCCGAGGACCGCCAAGGACCGCCAAGCCCGAGTTTGACCGATTTTGACAAATTTTCGCCAAGCACCCTAATCGTAATCGGTTCAAGGCTGTCAAACGATTAATCGCCGATTAATCGGCCGCCAAGACCGATTTCTGCAACACTGAGTTTTGGGTAGTAATCAAAGCTTAGTTTATCATGGAACGAACATCTGTTAGGATTTCAATTTCTTAATACAAAATAGATATCTTATACAAACAAGCATGGCGTGTGAAACAACATGCGCTTAAAATTTTAAGGGGATGGGGAATCAATTTATAGACTCCTTGTGTACTATTAC